ATTTTTAACGTTTAAAAACAAAATTAATTTTTATGTTTTTTAAATGTTTTTTTAAATATTGCTTGCTTATTGGGTAAAAAAATAATTAGTAAATAAATAAAAAATATTATATAAGGTGTAGTAAAAAGAAATCCATTATTTTTGCATGAAATTGAAGGCTTTATTTAGCATAGTTAGAATAATACGATTTAGGTCAAATATGCGCTGTTTTGTTCGATAACTTGTTGCCATTTTGAAGATAATTCCATTATGCCTCTCTCATAAAAACCTTTGTCCCTATTGGCAAAAAACTGGGACGATTTTCACAAGCTTCTCTTGAGGCAAATTTTTCACCAGCAAAATCATTCGTCATAGACAGGAACAGGTGGTAATCACTTGGTACCAGGTCCGGACTATAAGATGGATGCATAAGAACCTCCCAACCAAGCTCCTGGAGCTTCTGGCGAGTCACTATCGATGTGTGTGGCCTGGCGTTGTCCTGATGGAACACAATTTCTCTCCTATTGGCCAAAGCTAGTCGCTTCTGGGCGATTGATTTCTTCAGACGGTCCAATTGTTGACAGTACAGGTCCGAATTAAGAGTTTGGCCGTAGGGGAGCAGCTCATAGTGGATGATTCCCTGCCAATCCCACCAAACACACAGCAAAGCCTTTCTGACCGTCAATCCTGGCTTGGCCACCGTTTGTGCCGGCTCACCGCGTTTCGACCACGACCGTTTTCGCTTGACGTTGTCGTAAGTGACCCACTTTTCATCACCAGTCACCATCCGCTGCAGAAATGGATCGATTTTGTTGCGATTCAGTAGCGATTCGCAGATGGAAATTCGGTCCATGAGGTTTTTTTGCGTTAACTCGTGTGGCACCTATACATCGAGCTTCTTTTTGTATCCAGCCTTATTCAAGTGGTTCCAAACGGTTTTTTGTGCAATGTTTAGCTCCTGGGCAATCGAAAAAGTGCTTACATGACGGTCGGACTCGACGATTTCCATTTTTTTTATCGACATTTTCGACAATTGGCCTTCCAGAGCGTGGTGCATCATTGACATCAAAATTACCGGAACGGAATCGACGAAACCAAAATTGCGCGTGATTGGTTGTTACAGTATCAGGACCATAAACACTATTCACATTTTCAACCGCCTGACTTGCGTTTTCGCCTTTATCGAAAAAAAACTGTAAAATATGGCATATTTTTTCTTTGCTGGTGTCCATCTTTGACGCTCAAACAATACTGAGTCAAACAATCACAAAACTGTCTGAGAAATTTTTTTAGTACGAAATCTTATCTTTCTAGCGCCGTCTAGCGTAAACCGATCGCACTTATACAACGCGAGATACACATTACTAAAGCCATCTATTGGAAAAATAATGGATTTCTTTTTACTACATCTTATATTATATTCGTAATATTTTTTTAAATATTGCTGTAATATTGCTATAGTAATATTTCAAATTAATGTCACTGCAATGTCTTTGCAACATTGCACTGCAATATGCAATGTTGCAACGTTATTACTATATGAAAATATATCTATAAGAATAACAAATTTATCTTTTAATTCGAAAAAAAAGTTCGTCTATAATATGGTAAATTAAACGTTATCATAACATCATTTTGCAAAGTCATTTTGACGTCTTAAATCATGATGTTAAATACATGTCCTTAGTGGATAAATGACGTTACTGACCAATAATGACGACATATTGACGTCAAAATAACATCAACTTGCTGTCTGAGAACATATCCTGCTTAATTTCTGTCGCTATGCTCTATTAGCAGATTCTGTTGTATTTCTGCTAGCAACCTACCAATGAAATTTATCGTAACAGATATTGCGTGAAATCTGTTTTTGCTAGTTTGACTATCTAAGTCGTTACACTCAACATTTTACAATAGTTCAATGACTTTCTAGAAGAAATTAATATTTTCAATGGAATATAATTATAAATATTTTGTGAGCAATATAAATATGAAATATAATTATTCCTTTTAAGAAAGAAATCAGTGGATATTAATGGAACATTAAGGGGGGGACGCCTACCTAGAAACTTCAAAAATTTCGATTTTTAGGTTTTGACATTTTCTTAGAGTACAACATCTTAAAAATATTTCTTGAAAATTGCAAATCATTTCGAACAAGATTTACAAAGTTATAGGCGTCTACCTGCGGTCGAAACGATGAAGCGCCCTGAGCAGGTAGACAGGGAAGGCAGGGATGTATAATTCCTTTAGTTGTGAGATCTCTTGTACTCTGTAAAGATAAAAGATTATATAGAGGCTCCATCTCTGCGTGCATTAGTAAAATATAACGATATCCACGAGGCTAACATACCTAAAATTTAGAGGTTAGAAGTTGTTTTCGTTGTAGACTAGGGAAGTTTTGCTCAGTGTCGCAGTTATATTAACTGTCATGGAACGTACGAAAGGTTCAAGATATTTGAGAGTAACTAACAACATTAGATTATCCAAAAATAAGAAGCGAAAGCAGCCTAAAAGTAAAAATGAATTGAAGACTGACGAAAATACTTATAGTACATCTGCAAAGAAATTGAAAATGAAGAAGGATATTGTAGTGCCGCAAGATAATAATATTGAATACAGGATTTTAAATTTTGTAACAGTATTTGCTGCAATTTCGAATTATGTAAAATGCAAAGAGTGTAATGGAGATGTGAAGCTTATAACAGCGAGGTTTAAGATTCCGATTAGTGATAAAATGCAATATGTGCGAATCTAAATTAATTCCTTCCTGTCTTTACATCGGAACAACATACGAAATTAACAGAAGATTTATATTTACAATGAGAGTTCTCGGCCTTGGGCTTGAAGGTTGTCAAAAATTCTGTGGCCTAATGGATATGCCACAGTTTTTTTTTCACAGCACATACGATATTATCGTAAAACAAATTCATTTCTTTGTCGAAAGTGTTTGCAAAATAATTCTGAAAATTGCTGTAGAAGAAGAAAGACAAGAAACATGCAAAGCTAAAGACATCGAAGAAACATCAGAATTAACAGTTTCCGGAGACGGAACATGGAAAAAACGAGATTTTACCTCTCTCTACGGTGTTTCATCAGTTATTGGATATTACAGCGGGAAGGTTCTCGATATTCTTGTTAAAAGCTCTTATTGCAAACTATGTGAATTCTGGAGTAATAAGAAAGGTACTTGTGAATTCGATAATTGGCAGAAGTCACATGAATCTGAATGTTCAGTAAATCATGAAGGATCGGCGAGAAGAGTGGAAGTTGATGCAATCACGGAAATGTTTAAGCGTTCCGTACAAAATTACAACGTGAAATATGTTAATTACATTGGTGATGGAGATACGAAAACTTATACGGGTATTGTAAATGCAGCACCTTACGGCAATGACACCGATATTATTACAAAAAATGCATCCGCCATGTACAAAAAAGAATAGAAACTTGATTACGACAATGCAAAAGAAAGATAAAGGAACTTGGCGGCAAAGGAAAATTTACAGCGAAAATGATCGATAAGTTAACTGTTTATTACGGACTGGCTATTCGTCGACACTGTGATTCTGTTGAAGAAGTGAGAAAAGCAATTTGGGCAACGTACGATCACTATAGTTCGACCGATGAAAATCCTACACATAGTAAATGCCCATCTGGAGTAAACTCGTGGTGTAGCTGGCAGCGTGCTTCTGCGAGCGGCAAGCTTGCTTCTTCCAAGCACGACTACAACGCTTTTCCTGCAGATGTGTTAGCTGCGATAAAACCTATCTATGAGAGTCTCAGCAGTGATACTTTATTGGAAAAATGTGTCGGTGGACTTAATCAAAATAATAATGAGAGTTTCAATCAACTCATTTCAAAAATAAGTCCAAAAATTTATCACAGCGGATCACTCGTCGTAGAATTAGCAGCCTACATTGCGACTTGCATCTTTAATGAAGGCACTTCATTATTAAAGATCCTTCAAGGTATGGGAGTTAGTTGTGGGCCACGCTCATTTGTATGTTGCAAAAAAGGATGAAGAACGGATAATGAAAAGTAACGTCCGCGCAACAAAACACGCGCGAGGCAAGACAGCATCGTAGGCAGATGCAGATCGAAAATTTAGAAGCAGCAGCTGATGCAGAGAGATCACTATATGGGCCAGGAATTGATAATTCCATGTAAGTTAAAAAATTAATTTATTATTTAGATATAAATATGATATACAACTTTAAACGCGTTTTTCTCGAAATCACATTTTCAATGTCGGTGACCAACATAACTAAAAGACCAGTCGATTTTCCTCTATCTTTGTAGACTTATTTGAAAGATAAAAATCTAAAATCCAACAGGAGGTTTTTCTTTTTTTTTTGCTTACTTATTTTTTTATACATGAAAAACAAGCGATTTTTTGGCCAGGAAACAATATTTCAAGTTTACATCTCCGCCATTTTGTCTAAAATCAATTTTTCAAAAATCCGCCTCGTTAGGTTTTAGATAATCTAATATATAATGTAAAAATTTTCGTGTTTTTCATTTCAGATAATCCTGCTTGGAGCTAGAGTGGTCACCGCAAAAAAGGATGTTCACAGCGTAGCTTATATCACACTTATTTTTCATTATTTCTTAATAAAAAAAATACTGTAAAGACTTGAAAATATATATTTTGCAATGGGCTATTTCTTATTTACAACCCATTAGTTGTTTAACAAAAAATTCCTAAAAAGACCTATATTTCTTGTCTTCTGGATAGGCGTCCTCCCTTAAACAAAACTATTTCTACAATAATTCATTATATTTTCAAATAATTTCTATGAAGCATTATTTTTAGAATGTATTTCATATCTTATGCTTGAAAACACAATATAATCGTGATACTAATGTTTTGATATATTCAACACAATAATCAATATAACTTTAATTCAATTTAATAATAAATCCAGTTAAACTTAAACTTGAATTTAGTAGTTAAATATTAATATGTACAAGAACGAAACATTTACAAATAATACATGGGATGATATGTATGTATGCAGAATAATCGGTTTGGATCCTGCCCGCCCGCTTCTTCGACCAGGTCTTTTAAATCGTTTGGATGCTGGTGATGCTAATTTCGTCGAAGTAATACATACTAATGCGGGATACTACGGCGAAACTGGACGCGTTGGTCACGTGGATTTTTGTGTAAACGGTGGTAAAATGCAGCCCTTCTGTGAAGATAAGGAAAAGAATCAGTTGTGCAGTCATGTGTGGGCGGTGTGTTTTATGGCACAAAGTATAGACGACAGTGGTGCTAGTCTAATAGCTGAATCATGCTCCAGGCGATGCCCTTCGGGGCCAAGAATTATCGGAATAGCAGGAGAGCGCACAACGATGGGTCAGCACACTCCTATTGACACCAGAGGATCATTTTGTCTCAATAAACTTGATCCGCCTTATTGTCCAAAATATTTGAATGGTCATGGTGACGAAAGATGCTGTGTAACCGAAACAACGCAAAATAATGAACAAATACAGAACAATACAAGTATGAAACAATAGAAATTACGAACAATTAGACGAACAATGTTAAAACTAGAATCGGAATTGATTGAAAATCAATTCCGACTAAGCTAATCGAAAAATAATAATTATAAAAATTTTAAGAAAATAAATAAGTTGTATTATTAATTTCTAGCAGTATATATATTTCGCAAATATAGAACATAAAAAATGAAATTGTATTAGGTGTATAACTTTGCTTCCGCTGTTTTTTTCCGAAATTCAAGGCTTTATTGTTAAAAAACTGGTTATACATTTATGATTCAAAGTATTGTCCATCGCTGGCCACTACTTTCTCCAATCTTTCGGGCAGCGTACGAATCCCGCGTCGAAAAAACTGGTCATCTTTTCTCTCCTCATATTTTGAGGCGATCCACGAATCGATCCAATTTTTTACTTCTTCATAAGACCGGAAGTGCTGGTCAGCCAGGCCATGTGCCATTGATCGAAACAAGTGATAGTCAGAGGGAGCAACGTCTAAAGAATACGGCGGGTGGAGTAGGACTTTGCATTTCAACGTTTCCAGGTATGTTTTGACCACTTTCGCAACATGGGATCGAGCATTGTCATGCTGCAAAATCACTTTATCGTGTCTCTCGTTGTATTGCGGCCGTTTGTCTTTCAATGCTCGGCTAAAACGCATCAATTGCGTTCGATACTAATCGCCTGTGATTGTTTCAATCGGTTTTAACAGCTAAAAATACACTACGCCGAGCTGGTCCCACCAAATACAGAGCATGACCTTGGAGCCGTAAATATTCGGTTTGGCCGCGAAGTGGAAGCATGGCCGGGAACTCTCCATGATTTTCTGCGCTTGGGGTTATCGTAATGAACCCATTTTTCGTCCCCAGTCACAATGCGATGCAGAAATCTCTTCTGTCTTTGCCTTTCAAGCAGCTGTTCACAAGCAAACAAACGCCGTTCAACATCTCTCGGTTTCAATTCGTACGGCACCCAATTTCCTTGCTTCTGAACCATTCCATGGCTTTGAGTCGTTTTTAAATGGCTTGTTGAGTCACTCCCAATGATCGTGCCAATTCTTCTTGATTTTGACACGAGTCTTGATCAAATAATGCCTCCAATTCTGCATCTTCGAAAACCTTCTATCTTCCACCGCTATGCCGGTCTTCGACATCAAAATCACCGTTCTTGAAGCGTTGAAACCACTCACGTTCTTTCACTAATAGCAACTTCACCATAAGTATTTGAAAGCATTCGATGAGCCTCAACCGCAGATTTCTTCATATTGAAGCAGAAAATTAAAATCTCCCGCAAATGACGAAAATTTGGCTTGTAAACTGACGTTTTCAATCGAGAATAACTTTATAATGCAGACACAAATTGACTAATGTTTCTATGGGGTTATGTTGAGAGATGCCCAAGTTTATTGTATGATGTTCCGACGGTACTCGCGAACGGAACTTCGCGAGCGACGGCAAACAGTCGCCTGTTAGCCGCGTCGGCAAATTGCCGTCGGCTCCCGGACACGCCACTAAGATATCCGCGATAGTTGGGCGCCAGATGCGGAAAGGCCGCACCACCTCGTTAAACGCGAGAGTCGCTAATTAGCACGAAAATCGCGCGTCCCGGAACCGTCGGGACCGGTAGCTCCTATGAAATTAAAGTCGAAGACGGGATGGGTTAGGAGAAGGCGAAATCACTGGACTCGATATTGATAACGATGAGACGCTTATTCGAGGACTCTCGCACGTCCCGATAGTCGGTATACGAGAGGAGGTCGTCACGACAACGCTCCTCTCAAGACGGTACAGTTCGCGAAACGTTACACGAAGCCCGAGGGCGTTTTCCTCGGGCGAGCCTTTTCTACTCGCGCGACCACTCCGCGGACGAGACACGGCACGATACGGGACGATACGCGACACAAATATATTTGGAGCAGATGGTCGATCTTACAATTTTCGGCGACGGCTCTTGCGTCGGCGGTGGCGGCGTTGACGGCGGCGGCGGCGATCCTCTCTCTCTCCCTGCTTTCTCGTCCTCTCTCGCCCTTTGCTCTCTCTCTCTCTCTCCTCGCTCTT